TCCCTAATTTGCCCTAAACTAGGACAAATATATATATATATATATATATATATATATAATTTATTTTATATATTTTATATAATTTATATATGTATTATATATATTTTTATATATATATAAATTTATATATAATTTATTTATATATTATATATATATAAATAATTAAAACAAAAATCCCAATGCACTCAGCAGGCAAGCTGTGAGCACCAGGTGCTGCCATCACAGAGGTATCCCTCACACCCCCAGAGAAAGCCAAGAACAACCCAGCAGCAGCAGCAGCAGCAGCAGCTGTGTGCTGGGCAGGTACATTACCAGGCTGGGGGTGGGTTTAGGCATTGTCTTCCGTGCTCGGTGGACCTTGACTTCAGCGTTAGCAGCGGGGGCTTTTTTAGCATCCATGTCCTTACTGCCCTCCCCGAGCTTGCTTGGCATGGTGGCTTGGAGCTGGGCAAAGGAACCCACAGTCCTGCCCTTGCCTGCTCCTCCAGGCAGCGTTTTTGCAGCGTGGCCAGTGAGAGAAGCAAAGCTGGTAGTCCTTAGAGGCTGCTCCTGTGCCATCTGCTTGGTTAGGATATATCCATTGCTCCCTGTGACAGAAGTCTGTGTGAAGTCATTTGCTTTCAGATGGTTTTGCTTCCCAGGCTCGCCGTCCCGCTCCGAAATGCCGTTTTCTGCTATCCTATTTAATTTAGTAGTAGAGTCCTGCTGGCTCACTTTCGTGTTGTCCTGAGTGTTTTTCGCTGGGTTTGGGTGGCCCCCACCCTCGCTGTGCTCACAGGAACCGTTGGTTTCGCCATCTACTGCCATTTTTGGTTCCCCCACTTGCTTTTCTGTAGCGCTTTCATCTGCAGCCATGGCATTAAACCCTGGAGGGAGAGGGAGGAGAGGGAGGAAGAGATGAGAAAAGGGTCACAAGTGGTGTTGGAACTCCTGAGGAAAGGTACAGCTACTCACAGTGTAGGAGCAACCCTCTTCTCCAGCACCCTGCCTGATGGAAATCACAGAATCCCAGAATATTTAGGGTTGGGAAAAACCAGAGATCATCCAACAGTGGATTAAACACCACCACATCAACTAAAGCAAGGCACTTCCTCCCACTTGCCTCAGCTGCAGATGTGGCCATTTATTCCCAATATTTTTCAAGGTAAATATTATCTCTGGCTTTTCCAGTAACTGCATTTATTGGACCATATGTCAACACCTCACCTGGCAAACAGAACTCTGCCCCATCTTGCATCCGGATCTCTGGCAAAGCCCTTCCCAAAGCCAGTCTGACATGGAAAAGCTTTGCTGGTAGGGCTCTCCCAGTGAGCTTTTGTGGCAAACACACAGCCCAGCAGCCAAATGTTCACATCAGGGCTCTGCTGCCACAGGGAACATCACAAGGAATAATTCCCTGGCCATCCCAGCTCTCCTGGGAATGTTGCTCAGTGGGAATTGGCTCTTTCAGACAAAGCACAACAGGACCAGGATTCATGGTGTCATTTCAGAGGTAACAGCAGGAGTAAACACAGGAGTGAAGTGTGGTAAATGCATTTCTAGACTAAAATAATTCTGTGATTCAAATGCAGCAAGGTTTTTGCAGCCTGACAAAGCTCATGCACATATAAAACATCCCTTTCCCTTCCCTTCTAAACACTTCCCTGCTCCTCCATCAATGACTGTCCCATTTCAAATCCAAGCTGAAAAAAAATCCAACTGTGTCATGTACTTGCAGGAAAGTTTTTGACATGACAACCCAGCAGCTCCCCAGGCAACCAGGAGTGATAACAATTCACTGGCACGCTCAGTGCAGTGATTACATCAACCTGCTGTTAGGGATTCCTTGGCTTGTTTTCCTTCCAGAGACCAGACAGTTATGAAAAGCAACACAAGAAGCACAGGGACAGCTCTGTCAGAGCAGGGGGGATTGATTCAAACCAGCTCCCATCAAAGCAATTTTCACCTACGGGATCCAAAGAGCCTGGAGTCACACTGGAGGAACAGCCAGACCACTGGGTCTCAGCACCTCATTTCACAAACAGGCAAGGAAAACAACGCTCTGAATCCCAGAATCAAGGCTGGAAAAACACGTGGGCAGTGCTGAACTCACACCAGGGTCTGTCCAGGGGCATCTCAAAGACCTCCTGCAGCACTGACCCCTCCAGCCCCAGACTGCCCATCAATTCAGAGGGGGCAGTGCCTTTGATGCTCCTCATTTCCAGCTGAAAGCCACAGATGTTGGGCACAAAGCACCTCAACAGATGGATCTGGAAAGTCTCTCCAAACCCTGAGTGGTCACTCTGCCCTGGGGATCAGCTCTGGCCATTTTTCCTGATGAGACACTGTACTAAGAGATCCATTCCCCCTAAAAATCCAGGCAACCCAGCCTGGGATTGCCTCCCATGTGGGCTCTGCTGCCTCACAGCCTCCAGAGATCTCCAAAACATTCAAAAATTGTTCTCTGGAGCACACAGAGACACAAACCTCACCTGCAGGAGCAGCGACTGCGGGTTCTCCAAGCAGGATTCAAAGTTATCACCTCCACCTGCTCCCTCTCACACCACCCAGACCTCCCTGTGGCACAAGGGTTTGTTTTTGATAGCAAGAACTCTGGGAGAAGATCAAGTGCTCCTTTTCTCACTGTTTTATTTAACTATTTGAAAAGCTGTGGGCAGAGGGAGCCACAACTATGCCTTTATTTTTTTCAATTCTTGTTTCTCTTTCAGGGTCTTTAAAAGGCCATTTAGGCAATTATTGCAGCGAAGTCAGTGCCAGGGAAAAAAGAAGGAAAAAAAGAAAAGCAACAAAAAAGAAGCTCTCTAACCACAGCTGGAGGTTTCTAGAGCTCAGCTTTAGGCACCTGGCTGAATGAAGCCTTCAATATTTGTTGATTTAAACACTGTGTTCTCCCACCAGAGCAGTCAAATAACTTCAGTGGCTGACTATGAGATAAACTGAATAAGCAGAGAGCAAGAGTTGCTCTACCTGCCATGAAAGCAACCCAAACAACGTGAATTAGAGCACTGCCCCAGGGAAAAAGTAACTGCATTACTCCAGAAAGCATCACGGGCTTTATGAAAAACCCATGAAGCTAAAATTAAAATCACACACACACACACTTATTTCCCTTATTGTGAAATGCAATCTGATTGCCTGTGGAAGAGGCACCAGCCCTTCCAAACCTGTGTGAACAGAGATTTGATGGACAGAGATAAGGAATTTCACAGCAGAGGCCACAAGGACTGAGAAGGAAGAGAAACCCACGTTTCCCTCCAGCCTCCAACAAGGCTGAGATGCTGCAAGCAGGATCTTCCCTTTCTTTGGGGTAAAACCCCCTCCATTCTCCCATTCTCCCTTCTGGCAGCACTACAACAAACCCAGGAAGAGTTTGGAACAGCATTTTCTTGTACACACTGAGCTCCTGCAAGCAGCACCACCCCACCATCCCCATTTCAAACTGAATTGCTGCTCCTGGGGAATCAGGTTATCACAGTTTGAGCTGGTCAGGTTTTCCCAACCAAGACACCTGATCTGGTGACAGGAAAACAGGAATTGCCATCCCAGGTTCACCAAGGGCACCAGCACAGCACTGCTGAATAGGCACAACTCAACACATTTCACAGCCTTGCTGAACTCTGGCCCACAGACAGGGATGGGAACACAAACCAGAGCCAGCAGGAGCCTCACGATGACAATACTGAATCAAACAGCCCACAGAAGCTCTTCAGCAGCTCCAGACACCTAAAGAAACACTTCTTCCTGACGTGACCTTTTCATCCCCCCACTTTTTCATTCCAAAAAAAAGAAAGCTTCACTGAAAACCTGCTAAAATCCTCATTTCAAATACACCTCGTGGCAGCGAGCTCTCCCCTTGAAAATGCTGCTCAGCAGCTTTTCTGCTCCTGTGCTGCAAGTGTAAGGGAATTATAAAACTAAAATTGGCATTTCTCTAAAACTTTGTGACTTTACAGCATTCATCCCTTCTAAGTAGGCCAAAACAAGGTTTTCTCCACATTTAGTTTTCTCTCCAACTTGCTCACTGCTCTTTAATCTACACCCATCCTTCCTTTAATTAAAAACAAATAAAAGGTAAGAAGTTCTAGCCTGCACCCATGAAGAAGCATTATTAATTAGAAGCATCTTAGCCTTTTCAAAGTTCCTTTAGGCATCCTCAATGCCAGATGCAGCAGGAAAAGCTTCTCCCATGGACTCCAACACTGCCTCAATGTCCATCTGAGCTTGGATTCACTTAAAACCCAGGTAACATGCCCAAGAGACTTGTTGGTGGTACTTGAAGTACCAAGTTGGCACAAACTTCAGTAAAAACACATTTTTTAGGGTACATTTTATTAACACAAATGAATTTAAGACTCAGGAGGCAAAGAATACCCAATAATCAATTTAAATCTCTCCTGTGAATTAACAACTCCCTGAGAGCACTGCAGAGCTCCCAGCCCTCCCCAGGCTCAGGCAGAAGGGTCAGGCTCGAGTTTTCATCCCAGAGCATCACAGTTGTTTAAAATGGAATTAAAATTCTCCCAAAGAAAACAGACTCAGATGGAAGCTGGGGAGAAGCTAAGACAGGATGAGACAACCCCATCTAATTTTAGGTGTCTAAAAGGCATCTCAGACTCTGGGGGTCCCTGAGCCACCACTGCAACCCAGAGAGAGCTCAAAAGCAGCACAGGCTGACTTTAAACATCTCTGGAAAACTCAGCCCTGCCTGGGCCATGTGTAAGCAGAAACAAGCTGGATTAATTCAGAATTAGAACAGTAACTTCAAAAAAAAAACCCCTAAATTAGGCAAAATTAAAGCCCCCTCTGCTCTCCCAGCCCAGACATCGGTTCCTCTTTGCTGTCTTTGCCTGCTGGGGTTTCCAGCCTTTTCAGCAGAGCCAGACCTGGCTCCAATCCTGCCCTGGAGCTCGCCAGAGCTGGGTCCAGCCTGCCAAAACTTATCTGTGGGCAGAGGGCATCTAACAGATGTGTCACTGTCCCCAGCAGCCATCCTGGCCACAGCCAGAGGGGACATGATCACCTCTGTGCACCTTCAGAAACTCCCCACCTGAGGGAGGCCAGGTAGCAACTCAAAACTCAGTGTTACTTTGATAATATTCTGAAAAAAAATAAAGGCTTAAATGTATTTTTTAAGTTTGGAGTTCACTGCTCAGTGAAACAAAATAAGAAAAATATGGAAATGTTAGGAGGCCTTGTGCTCCAGGGCAAACTGCAGCCACCAGGTCTGAGGGGAAAGAGAGGGAAAAAGAAAAGAAATGGAAATATATTCTGCTACAAATGCACTACCATCTTATCTGGAAGCTTTACACACTTTTCTGAGCATCTTGGTGCTGAGGACTGGTGGAGGCAAGACATTCTCTGCCCATGGGATTTTCCATGAATTTCCAGAGCCCTCAGCACAGAACCCAAGTAGAGCCAAGAGGCTTCAGCTGCTGCAAGAGAAATGTTTAATCAAAGACAGGGCTTAAATGAACTTAGCTTAAATGAACTAAGCAAAGCCAGAGCTTAAAGGAAAAGCTCAGGATTTGGAAGTGCAAACCAAGAAGTGCACACAGCTGTATTTACACACACACACATCTCACAGATGTTCTACCTTAACCACTTTGCAGATCATCCTTAAAACACCACAGATCCCACAGCCTTTGATTCAATACCCAACTGTCCTGCTGGATAAAAGCAAGAAAAGCACCTGCTTTTAATCTTTGTGTTACAGCAGTTCCTGTCCCTCTTCCTCCTCTAACTCCAAGGAAAAGGAAATCTGCCAAGCAGAGGAGAGCCCAGATGCCATCCAGAGGATGAAGATGTTGCTCCAGACTAACCAGACCCAGCTCCTGCAGTCTCTCCTCATATGAGAGATGCTCCAGACCCCTCATCACCTTTGTGGCCTCTGCTGAACCCTCTCCAGCAGCTCCTTGAACCAAAAAAGTCCAGAACCCAAAACTCCAGATATGGTCGAGTAGAAGGGAAGCATCATCTCCCCTCACCTGCTGACCACACCAAACCACCCTCCAGCATTCCCTTGGCCCTCCTAGCCCCCAGGACACAGCTTGAACATTAACAGTTAAACTGGCTCAACAGTTTCATGCTCAGAGCAGGTTAACAGCCCCCATGGAACCCCTTCATCCCTGTGCCATGGGATGGGGCCGTGCTGTCACAGCCCAGCTGTGCCCAAGGGATGCTCCTGCTCCAGGGCTGCACATCCCTCCTGGAGCAAGGCTCCCAAAGCCAGGGAGTGCTTGGTGCACAGCTGGGTGAAGATGTAAAATCCTGAAGCATCACTTTGCTCTGCCTGGCCTCCTGCTGTCAGCCTCAGCAGGGATCCCAGTGCCAAGCACCTGAGGAGAGCAGATTAGTCCTTCTCTCCTTTCAAGCTGCCATCCCTGCACCTGGGAATGCAAAGGCTGCAGCTGCTCAGTGGAAAGCTGCCCTTCCTGTGCTCACAGCAGCTTCCTACCTGCAATATGAGGGAGAAAAAAGGGAAAAAAAAAAAAGGCCCCTCCAGGAGTTTAACCCCCTGGCAGTCTCTGAAAGCAGGCCGAAGTTTATCTGAGAGCACTGACTGCAGGTCTCACCCAGCACGGTGGCTCTTGTAAAGCCCTGGGTGAAGGCTCAGAAACACTGGAGCAAATCTTCATATCCAACACCCACTCCTGCTCCTTTGTGCTGCTGCTTTACTGGAACTTTCCACCCCTGGGCTTGGGGAATCAGAAAAGGAGTGGTTTGCCTTGAAAGGTCAAGGGAGACGCAGAGCTGGGAGTGAAGCACATGAGGAGAGCTGAACTCACTTGCAATTCTTGCAAAGAAACCACTTTTTAATAGTTTCTCTCTGAGTCAGACTAAAGACAATATGGCCTAATAAAAGCTTTTTTCCACTCATCTCCCATCTCCCTGCCCCCTTCCCTACCCTGTCAAAGGGAAGTATGGACCTAAGCTCACACCCACATGTAAAACTCAACTGGAACATTTCCCACAGACCACAAAACAGCCTCATCCACAGCTTTTTTCTATATGTGTTGGGCAGTTTTACAATGGTGCAAGGCCATTCAGAGGCAGAGTGGAGCTATGGGATGTGCTAACACAGTTCCAATGGGGACCTGACCTGCCCTTGGCATCAGCACCTTTCTGAGTCAGGGGGGAGTGAAAAGAGGAGAAAACAGAGCAATTCACACTAAACTTTTAGCCCAAACAGCACCTTTAGTCAGCCTTTGGATCTGCAGCTTCAAGCCTCTGGAAATTTAGATGCCAGGTTTAATATTGACAGGTGACCTGCCAGGGGGGTTTTCCAAAGGGAACACAATCCAGAGCAGGCTCCCATCAAACACACCCTCAGCAGCCCAAACTAAACCTGTGTTTGTGCCACTGACAAAGATATTGGACAGCACCACCCTCCTCACTAAAGGGAAATGACTGTTCAAGAACACTTGAAGAGAGAAAGCTGAGATTTCAGGGTGCTTTTCCAGTCCACAGTTCCCAATTCCATCTCCGAGCCAGAAAACTGGGCTCAAAGAAACTGTTCCATGCCACCCTGCAAGTCTGCTGGAATGATTTCATGTTCATGCAACAGTCAAAAATGTGAATTCTGTGCCAGCACTAAACACTGTTATTAACAGGCTTTGGGGCCGTGAACCAATGTTCTGGTGGTGATGATCCCCTGAGGATCCCAGCTGGGGAGCCAGGGGCAGCAGGGACAATGTCCCAGCACAGCAGCACACACACACCACGGTCTGTGACACTCGTGCTGTGCCTGGGGAGGCACCTTCTGAACATTCCAGAAGAATGGAGACTCACATTTAGGAGCCTCCTTTCCCTGGGAACAGAGCTGGACTAGACTGGAGTGGTTGGAATTTCAGCACCTTGTGAAGCCTCCTGTTCCTGCACAGGGAGGGCTCTCAGCTTCCTTCTGACACAGCATTTGCTCCGATCAAAATCAGTCAAGAGGCACACAAATGTCTCTTCCCACCCTCCTTTTGGATTTTTTTACCTCCACAGATTCTTGACACCGTAAGATCAACCAAGAGCTACACAAACAAGGTCTATAATCCTGAGCTAAGAAAAGCAAGGGATCAAACTGAGTTTCCCCACAGCAACACAACCTCCCACTGGCACCTCTGACACCTCAGACTTTGTCTCCACTCTGCCCAGACCATAGGTCCCTATGCCACCACTGCTGGCAGCAGGATTCCCGTGCTCCCAGTTAATATCCAAGCACCTGACACAGCATTTGGTATTTCTGCCTGTTCTGAGCTTTACTTCCTAACTAGAGCAGCTTGACAAAACTTATGCTGGACAGAAAAGAAAGCAAAAGCAATGCTGTACTCGCACACAACTGAATTAAGTCCAAAATTTTGCTTCTAGATAAGAGTAGGGATTTCAGTGGGGCCAGTTCAGTGCTTTCCTAATGCTCTATTATGGAAAGGAGAACAAAAATACACCAAATCCCTGAAGAGCTATGAGAAGTAACTAGTCCAGGAATAATAAAACCATGAAAGGAGGGAGTTGGGGGAAAGTTAAAGGGTGGTGGGGCTTTTTTCCCCTAATCCCACTGACACATTTATTAAACCCTCAGATTTGTGTGCACAGACACACAAAGATTTGTAACTCACAGACAATGCTGCAGGAAAAGACTTTGTCAATAGAACCTGTGCTGCAGTAAAAGCTGCAGAACCCACACAGGAGCCACGAGGTGTGGGGTGTGTGACCCCTTCAACCACCTTGCAGCCATTGGGGCTGCTCTGCAGCAACACAGAAACCCACAGCAAAACAAAATGCCAACGTTCCTAGAGGGAGGAAAAGGTCAGTGTGGGGAGGGATCAGAGTTCAGCTAAAACCAGTCACACACACAGGAAGTTCAAAGTAACTCCTGGGCGCTTCACACCAAAGCAGAAGTGAAAATTAGATCTCCTTCTTCAGGGGAGTGGTGAGGGATGGACTGAAAAGCAAATCTGCATCTTCAGTGGAAGAGCCCTGCTGAGAATAAACACAGGAGAAGGGAGCCTGTGTTTGTGAGAGCACACCTGAGGTGCTGGGGGCACCGAGCACATCTCCAAGCCCCCAGTTTTGTCCCCATCACATGCCCACCTCATGAGCCAGCTCTGACCCTCAAGCAGGGCAGGTGCTCACCTTCCTCTTTGTTGTTGGTGATGTCTTTCAGCAGCTCAGTCTTCATGCAGCCGTCTTTCCTTGGCTCTCCCTTACTCAGCACTGCTCGCTACGGTGGGGGAGAAAAAACAGAAATATCAGGGTTGAGCTCAGTGCTGGGACACACGGCGCATTCAAAAGAAGAGACAATCATGGACACATCCTGTTTACAACACAGCCAAACCTCCCTCTGCAGAATGAAGGCTGCCAGGAAGCTGCCACCGAGGCACAGGTCACAGATAAAACACGGCAAGGCTGGCCCCAGCTGACAGCCCGAGGAGCACAGGGGCTCCAGGCTGTGCCCAGGGCTGGCACCTCCCAGCTCTGCCTTGGAGGCAGCCAGACAGATCTTCCCAGTGCAACGTGCTTGGGAATCCAGCTGAGTCTGTCTGTGTGAAAGGCATCTCCAGGAGGTGACTCTGACTCTCCCCAAAAAACTTTTTAGGCTTTGGGTGGGGCAGGCAGATCTATCAGACTTCTCACTACAACCTCATTTATCAACATTTCCAGCCCATGTCCTTCTGGTGGCTTGGTTGGGTTTTTTTGTAGCTCATTCAAATGAACATCCCAAAATGCAAACCATCAGTCAGCTACAGCTAACTCCTCATTCATAACATCCATGTTTATTAAAGTTAATGAGCTCTATTTTTAATTCTATAGAAAGCAATTTTTCTTTTCCCCCCTCTTTTTAAAAAGAAAAAAAATTATTCAAAAAGGGAACACCTGCTCATCTCTTCTGCCTTTCACATGCCTGGCATCATGTTGTTAGATCAGGTTTGCAGCCTTAATACCATCTCTTTTGCTTTCTATTTTGAAGCAGCAACACCAAACAAAAAAAAAAAAAAAAAAAACAACCCCAAAACACAACCAAAAAAACCCCAAAACCCTACCAAAATAAACCAGAAGGAAAATGGTATTTGAAAGAAAATGAACTAGAAGGGGTCTTTGCCACAGCTGTGTTTAAGGAGAGAGCTGGTGTGGAGCAGAGATGGGGAGGTCGGTGCTGGGCTCAGCAAGAAGCACAAGAATAAGCCCAGGTCAAGCCAACTGTTGTAGACCAGCACGGAGCAGATGGTGCCTGCAGCCATGCAAATCACAGGGTTTAAAGCACACTGGGTGATAAAGAAAGAAAAACAACCTGCCCACCTCCCTTAAAGCAAGTGAGGGGGATGAGACACGAGTGGAGCCCGGGGTGGCAGCTCCCAAACCTTCCCAGCAGCTCGCCCGTGCCCATGTGGCATTGTCCAGGGCTGCCAGGGGAGATGGGCTTGGGTGCTGCTGTCATCTGCTGTCACCCTGCCAGGCTGGTGAACTCAGGGAGATGCCCTGAGAGGAGCCCCCAGCTCCAGGCAGGGCTCACCCAGCCCCAGATCCTGGGAAAGCCTCCAGCACCTGCCAGGCCCGGAGCTAAGGGCACTTCAAGGATGGCTCCTGCAGCACAGGACAGAGGCTGTGGGTGCCTGTCTGTCCCTGCCTGTCCCCAGCCTGCCCCGAGCACAATCAGACACAAACACAGTCACATCTCAGGGCTCTCAGCACCAGGAACTTGTGCTCCGAGCACGGCACCTTCCGATCACCAGTCACAGACCAAAAAGTGAGCATTGGAAAGCTCAGCTCAGCCCAGCCTGACACAGAACCCACCTTCAGCAGACACTGGCCAACAGCTTCCATTGAGAAATGATCATAAAACACAGCCCAAACTCTGAACATAGAACAGCTGTTTTATTTATTTATTTGAGCCAGTAGTAATATACATCCTTGCTGCAAACATGAGCTTGTAAACCCTACCTCTCCTCTAGTCAGACCTCTTGTAAACCGGGAATAAACTCGGTTTTTCTCACGGATTATCCTGCTTGCAAGACTTGAGCAAAGAGAGCTCAGAGAGCTCGAGGGCACCCCTGGCTCCCACCAGAGCCAAGGGCACCCAGGCCCTCGCCACAGGCACCAGCAGCAAATAAAAGAGCCTCAGTCAGTCTAACAGGGACCAGTTTGTTTTCCCAACCTTTGTTGCAACAAGGAGAGGTCTTGATATTCCTGCTACTCCACTGACTCATACAAGACGCCCCAGGATTTCCAGGGGCCATTCTCAGCCATCTGAGCCTAAGTTTTTCTGTATTTTCTAAGCAGTATCCTCACTCCACACATCATCCAGGCTCTGCCTTCCACATGCTGCTCACCCATGAAGAAAAGCCACTGCAGGAAGCCTGGAGTCAATGAGAACTTGACCGCCCTCCCTGCTCACCAGCAGCTCAGAGCTGCCTGCCCAGCTCTCCAAGCAGAATTCCCAACTCCAAGAGAGAAACCACCACTTTTTGTCCTTTGAGAGGACAAAAGCTGGGTGCCAAGGCAAGGCTGGCCGAGGTGGCATCTCACAGCTCTCCTGCTTCCTGCCTCACAGACAAAGCCCTCGCTAGCAGAGGCGACAACGTGACAGCTTCCCAACAGAAACTCGGCGTCGAGGTAGAAAATAAAATAGTAATTAAAAATAAATAAAATAAAATAAAAAGCCAACTGAGAATTTTGAAGCATTTTGATCAGAAGGAAGCTAAAGGAAAGCCCTCGAAGCCTCATCCCCCCAGGCCAGCGCTCTCCCATCCTTGCTCCATCAGCGCCCAGCACCGAGGGGCACCCATGGGATACCCAGCACCATTCATTCCCACCCAGCTCCACCCAGCCAACTTAGCACCAACTTCACCCCAAGTGTCACTACCTCCAGCTTTTCTGTGGGTGTGTGTGAGTGTGTTGGGGTTTATTTTTTTGCCCTCCCCTCCCTTAAATCCAGATCAAACTTCCCTTTCTGCTCACCCTCCCCATGCCCCATCCGTCCGTTCCCGATTGGCAGGGAAATCCTATACCCACCCTCCCCGCCGAGAAATGTCTGCTCTTGCAGCAGTCCCAACAAAGCCAACTGCCAAGCACACGCTGCTTCACAATAAAAGTCTCACTCGCTCCATTTCTTTCTATTTTTTTTTTTTTTTTCCTCCTTTCCCCCTTTCCCGCAGCCGTCTGCCTCCATTCCCTCGCCCACCCCAGACTGATTATTAACCATCCGTGGCTGGAGAACCTCCAGAAAGAGCAAACACCAGCAGCCACGAAGCATTCTTACCCCCCCTTCCCTCCCCAAGCCTTCATGTTTAGGTTTCAAAGGGTAGGAAAAATTAGTGCATCTGAAGAAAGACTGATTGGGTCTTTGAAAGGGCTTTAAGAGCCATGAGGAGCAAAGCAGAGGAGTTAGTGCTGGTTTAGTTTTTTCCTCTCTGCCTCTGTTTATAAGAAAACAAGCTTCCTGTCCTCCATGAGGTCTTTGGAGGGGATGGAAGACAGGTCAGACCGGCCAAGGAAAAGGCTCTGCAGCATTTCCAAACAGATGATGGCTACAAACTAACAGTGGTGCCCTTAAAACAAACAAATTTTTAAAAAAACAACAAAAAAACCCAACAAAAAAATCACCAAAAAAGCAAAGAAAGCCCACCAAAAAAAAAAAAAAAAAAAAAAAAAAAGAAAATAAAGAAGATAAAAAGAACAAAGCCAGGAAACACGGAAAGAGCTTTTGCAGCCTCCTCTCCTTGGCATTTTCATCAGCAATCCGGGTGCCCTTCGCAAAGGTCCAAACAGGTTTTATAGGCAAAGACAACACATGCACAGCAAAACTCCAACATATTGCAGCTTACCGAGCCCAAGGGACCAGAGTTACATCATGAGCCCGAGCTCTGCTCTCCCGGCAGCCCGGGAAGGAGCGCAGGCTGAGGTGCCAAGATGTCTACCTTCACCAGGGTCTTTTTTTTCTCTCTTTTTTTTTTTTTTTTTTTTTTTTTTTTTTTTATGTCTTAAAAATCAACGGTCTGGGAACCTGAGGCTCGGCAGCAGCGTTACTGTGAGCAGAGCCGTGCACACGCAGCAGGTCCATCTGGAAGAGGGCTGGGAGCAGGAGACCCCCTCAAAGTGCCTGTTCCCATCTGGGGCGGCGGATGCAGCAACACCTCTGGGATGGACAGCACTGCTCCTGCCTGGGAGCCTCCAGCTGCTCACCAACCCCTCCGAGGTGACACCAGACCCCAGTCAGGACACAGCCCCAGGGAAAGTTCCCACCAGCCAGGAAAACGAGGGCTGCAGCAACGCCGGAGCAAGGCAGAGGCAAATCTCTCACCAAATGATGCAACCCCAGCAGCGGCAGATTCTTATTCACTCATTTTTTCCCTCCTTCTCCTAAAAAAAAAATATATAAATAAAAATAACGCAACCCAAACCAGCCTGCTCGTAATAACCTTTGCCTTGAAGAGAAGACAAACATTTTGTAGTTAATTATATAGGAAGCAATGATTAAGAGAATGTTTGTAGAAAGAGAGTGTTTCTTCTGTAGGCATGGGGAGGCTGCTCATTTCAGATCTCAGCACTGTGCTTGGGCAAGGCCTGGGCTCAAGGCTCGTGGGGACGCTGACCACGGGCCTGTCATTAGAAACAACAGAAGCATTTCATCTGGAGAAGGAAGGAAACACAACCACCAGCATACCTGGCCTACAAAGCAGTCACCAGTCTCAAAGCTCCTTTTTTTCAGGCTAAGGCCACTTCCTTATAAGCCTCATGCAATCATGTGAACATGGAATTTTATCTGCAGCTCACAACAAGCACTGCCCTCAGCCTGAAGTTTGCTCCCAAATCAAATTCTTTGCAATTCTTTTGTCTCCTGAAATCCTTTCATCCAGACTCTTCTCCATAGAAAAGAAACATTTCCTTCTCAACCCCCATGTCCTCTCTCCTATTCCAGCCACACACGTCAACTCCCCGAGAAGGGGGGAAGCACAGAGAGAGGTGCAAGTCCCTGCATGCAACAGCTGGGAACACGGAGACACGTGCATGAAACACAACAGGACTTAAAGTGACTTCTCCCAAGACAAGGCATTCCACGACGGCGTGCAGGCTTCAGGCAAGGGGGGTCTGCAGAGCCCCTGCCCTCCTGGAAAGGGGAGATCGATTTACACTTCCTCACTGCTTCCAGGCCCATCTAGCTGCATCCCAGTAGAGTTAAAGCCAGTGCAACTTGTGTGTGCAGGCAAATGTAAATCCAGAGCAGACAAAGGCGTCCCCTCCTTCCACGGGCTGAGGGTAGCAAGGATTCCAGCTGCTGCCTGCCTTCTCCTAGCCCCCGGGAGGGGAGGAGGGGAAGAAAACCCTAAAATGGAGACCAAGATTCATCACTATCTCTAGCAAAAGCAAACCAGCCGTTTCAGAAACACCCAGTCCCCAGGAACTGGCTGAGCCAGGACAAAACCAGAGCACCAAGAGGAGCCTGGAGGAAGCAGATTCCAGCAATCTCCTGCTGGGAGGCAGCTCACCCCCATCAACGGGGCTCAGGAACCTCTTCAGCCTCCACGCTCTTCTTCCTCCCGCCCCAAAGCACCGCAGCCAGCGGAGCAGGTCCCTGTCCCCCTGCCCATGCCCATGATGCCCAGCCAAAGGGCACATGGGGCAGCAGAGGAGGGAGAGCCCCTCGTGGGTTCCCATGGGACCACGAGGAGCTGGCTGAGCTGCCCACACCACCTCCACCTGGGTCATCTCCGGCCATGGCGCGGCCAAGCAGCGAGACAGCGGTGCCTGCGAGCCGGGAGAGCGGACGGGGAGAAGAGGGGAAAAGAAAAAAATAACAACAAAATAATAATGAAAATAATCATAATCATAAAACTTGCACCCTCGGGCCTGTCCCTCTAATAACTACAGCAAAACCTCACCAAGGCCTTACTCTGCTGGAGGGCGAGAAAGCGACACAGCGCTGCCCAGCACCCGAAGTCCTGGAGGTGGGAGATCCTCACACCCTCTCCTCCATGGCCTACGGGCTTCGTCCCCGGCGTGGGGCCTGGTTTTTCTGCTCTGTCATTAAGAGTGGAGCCTGGTCTTTTCCTTCAATCCCAAGAATTGCACGGAATTAGATCATCTTTCTGGCTCGCCTCCCCCTACAGGCAGCTCCCGAGCATGCTCAGCGCGGCCGCGCTGCCATTTCATAACCGCATTGTTTACGGACACACGGACCTGCCATCTTTTGACAGGGACACAGGGCCCGTGTCCCTGCCCAGCGCCACAGCCCCCGCCACAAACACCCCCCTGGGGACAGGCAAACGACGAAAGCATGGAAAAGAAGAAGCCTGGGGGGGTGATGGTGGTGGGTTTGTTGTTTTTTGGTTGGTTTTTTTTTTTCCCCTGATGGTTTTTGTTTCTTTTTGCTCCTTTTCTCCTCCTTGATTTAGGTGAAAATCCATCTGCTTTGGAGGGAGAGGTTAACCCCTGTGGGGGCTGTGGGGAGGAGGAACTCGCAGAGCTCAATGCAAAATGCCAGCCATGATTTTTAGCTTCTTCGAATCACAACTGTGCTTTGATGTCACCTAAAAATATAATCCCCAGCCCAGTCTGCCATCCTCTGCCGAGCCTTCCTCTGTGAGAGAAGGGGTTGGAAATATGGTATTTCCCTTAAATAAACAAGCTGGCTTGGTCCCAGCACATACAGTTTTCTCCTTTAAATGCAAACCAGAGTATTTTTGCAGGCACACAGGAAAACGAGGAGAGGAGGAGGGGAAATGTTCCTCATTTAACACCAAGAACTCCATGAAAAGCCTTGCAAGGTTGCTCAGAGCCCCGCTCCATTCCAGCCCTCTCCCTGTCTGTGCTGATCATACTTCACAGGTGAAAGCAGCCCTGACTTACGACAGAGAGAAAATGCCAGAAGAGCTGGAGGTTTCCTCATCCTTGGAACAAGGACAAGTTGTGAAAAGCTTCCTTTGCAAGAGCCACTGAGCTGCTCAGGCACAGTATGGCAGCGTTGCAGGGAGGACACTTGCACGTCAGACCTTCTAAACCCCCACTGCCTCGACCCTTCTCCACGTCCTTCCCCCTCCTGATGGGGACTGAAGGAAAAAGCATAAATAAATCACCTGCTTTGGAGGATGCAAGCTGTTGTGTTGGAGTCCAGGATATCTTTTAAAAGCTTGCTCAACATTTTCTCCCCTTCTGTATCTTCTTTTTCCTAATGGATGCTTTCCAATGAGCTTGTACAGTTTGAGAGCTTCGCTCCTGCTGCTTTCCTCACTACTGTAAATCCTGGCAGGCTGCCCTTCTCCTCTGCCCCCCTCCAGGACCAACAGCACCCTACAGCAAAGCCAGACACGTATCCTCTACCCAAAAGACCAAAGAGCTCACATGGGCACAAGAGGGACAAATCCCACTGGAAACACGAGGGCCCACAAGGGTCTGCAAAGAGGGGCCGGTGTCAAAACTCTGAATTCGGAGGAGTCAGAAAAAAAAACCCAAAAAAACCTGGCTGAAAAGGGTGGTTGAGGATTATAAACTCAGGGATTCATTTCCAAATCACTGACATTCCATGTCACTGCAGGAACATATGGTCCTCCAAGGCTTGCAAGCAGGGAGCACACGCCGTCAGTGCCCCGAGCCTTTGGGCTGACCCCAACACACGGTCACTCTCCCGCTGCGGCCATTCCTCGACCACTCTCAGCTCCACGAGCAGGAAGGTGAGAAGGAAAAACTTCAGGGAAAAGCAGCAAAAGGAAAACAAAGAGGAGCAGCAGGAACCAAGCCAGCCCTCCCCCAAACCAGCTGGCCAGGAGAGCGAAGCTCCTTAGAACTCCTTGTTTACCTGAATAAAACAACTCGCTGCCACTGCATGAGGTGCACACATTCCTTAGGAGATGGGCACCGCATGGGAGAGCTCAGGGAAGTCAGGACATGGAGCTGCCTCTGCCCCCTGCCCAGGGCTGGTCTCACAGAGGCTGAGCTGCAGGAATATGCCCCAAGTGTGCCACAAAGCCCAGTTCTACCCAAACATGTTCTGGGACGAGAGCAAGAGCTCGTGCTGGCACTGCACAGTCAGTCAAATGCATGAAACGGAACAAAACCAAGACCCAAAGGCTCCACTTTGGTCTCTTAACCCTTGCTGAGAAGCAGTGCCAAACCCAGACCTCAGCAGCTCTCCTCCCTGCAAAGTAGGTCAGGCTTTTCTGCGTCTCTGCAGATGCTTCCCGAGGGCCCTGCCGGCGTTGGGCGCTTTCAGCCGGTGCCACACCGGTGTCACCGTGGCCACCAGCACACAGGAGCACACCTCACACACCTCAGCAGGTTTTTGGTTGTCTCCTCAGCCTTCATCATACCCAAAGCCCATTTCCTCCCTGGGTGGAGCTGCTCAGGCAGCAAGTCAAGGCCTCAGCTCTTCACTGTTAAAGAGAAATCTCATCTCTCTCCTCGTGACTTCTGATGCCTTTTCCTTTTCTTCTGGATGATGAACAAGGAGCACATTTATAGTCCAGTGGAGACACGATAGATATTTAGATTAGGTATCACAGGTTGTCCTGTGTAAGCTCCCTAATCTTTTAAATGCCATCTTTAGATCTTGCTCCTTGACTGAAAATTCAATATTGTGCCTGCATTGCAGCTTTGAGGGTCTCCCTGGAGCACAGCAAGCTCAGGCCAGAGTTCTGCAGGGGTGTCCGTGCCTTCCACGGCCCTGGGACCTTCTGTGTCCATCCCAAATCTCACTGAGGTCTGTGGCAGCCAACAGTTCTTGCACTTAACACAAATCACAGAGGGAAAAAAAAAAAAAAAAAAACCCAAACAAAAAACTAGCAAGGGCAGAAAGCAGGGGGCTGAGTTTTAAAATATGTTGCAGGCGTGGACCTCCTGCCATGAAATCAACCAGGGATGTTTCCTTTTAATCAGCTGTTTCCTTGGATTGCTACTATGAAAAAAAAACAAAACAAACCCAACAAAACAAAGAAGAGAGAGGGGAGGAAGTCACCCCAAAATAAAACAGGATTGTTTCTTCCTGGTAAAATATTGTTGCCTCTGGCCTCCACCCAAGTGAGCCACAGGCAGAAGCTGTCAAAAGAGACCCAGTGAGGAGGTGCCATGTGGCCACAGGCCCTCTCCTCCCCTTCAGAAGTTCAGTCTTCGAGCAGCTCGGGCACCCCAGGCTTTGCTCCTTTTTCTTCTAAGAGCTACAAGCAGGGAGGGCTCCTCGGAGAATTTTCCAGAAACTTCACACTTAAAAAGCACAAATAAATCCTAAAAACACCAAAAAAAAAAAAAAAAATCCACCCCCAGAACCAAACCAACCCCAAGCGAGCCTCCCCACCCCAGGAGACAAATGAAAGGCAGGAGGGAACAAAGCCCGAGGTTTGCGATGCCGGGTGCGGAGGCCGCAGGGAGCCCGTGGAACACCGATCCCAGCGGGATGGGTCATCCCACAGGGATGGGGCACCCCAGCCCTCCTGCCCACCCGCGCACGGGGCGGCTGCGAGCAGGAATATCCAAACAAATGAACAAACAGCCCCGGCCATGCTTCCCCGGCCTCTGCTCCTCCTCTCCAAGGCCTCTCCTTCCCCGGCAGGACGCAGCCTGCCCTGCCAGGGCCTCGCCAGGCACGGGAGGTGGACAGACCCCTGCGGTACCTGCGGGCAGCTGTTGTCTTCTTCTGGTGAAGACTCCAAGAGTTGCATATTCCAGATCCTCATGAGCAGTGATTCAGTTTCTGCTCATGTGATAAAGCTCCCTCTACAGAGTGAGCATGCCCAGAAGAGCCCATTTCACTGCTCCCTCCACTGCAGCCATTTCACAGAGAACCTGCCGGCTCCAGGGCGTCCATTGGAGCGCGATTATCCCGGGCATCCCGGGGACGCACCGGTAATGCAGATCATCTGTCAACTTTCTGACAGGGCGCCAGGCCTCAAAACTGATCACTCGCCTGAAAAAAAGAGAAAGCTTTTTAAACCAGAGTGCTGTCTCGTGGCCTTCAAGAGTAGCACTTGCCCGTGGGAAAAGGAGAGGCAGGAGGGACGGGGAGGGATGCGAGTGCCTTGGGGATGTCTCTGGGCTGAATTTGTTGTGCTTAGCAAAGCCCCCGACCTCAGAGAGCTGGGATGAAGGCACATGGGTTAAACTGATGCAGAGAGCAGTGTCCAAGACAGTGTCTTCGAGATTCGAAATGCTGATCTGAAAGGGAGATCATTTTCACTTTGGGGATTAATAACCTGACCTGGTACAACTGACTTTGAAAGGGTGTCACGAACACAGTCATGGAAAAGCAGGGGGGACTGGAATGAAGGGACATCCTCATGGATCCATCCTCATCCTCACCCTAACAAAGGGATAGTTCACTACGAGGTGCAGGAGCTCTAAGCTCAGCCTATGTCAAACCCTACAATACTACTGGCCCAGCCAGGCAAGATAACAGAAGAAACTTTAGCTTCAAAATAAAAGTAGTTTGTCTCTGTTCCACTTCACAATTAAGCATAAACTCTTGGCAACCTTCATATCTGCTCAGGCTCCCAGTAAAACTGCCAGAGCAGCTCTCAGGAACATCTGTAAGCAGAGCTCGGCTGGAAGGGATTCAAGGAAGACTGGCATTTATCGGAGGCAGGAGCAGGAGGCTGCTGGAGCCGGGTGTCAGGCTGGAGAACCTCCCCCCGAGCAGGGGGAGGGCAGCAGGCAACCTTGGGGAAGAGAGCAGGAGGAAGAGGAAACTCCGCCATGGCCCCGTGGCACCACCCGCGCGCTCTTGGCCGAAGGAAAAACAGCTTTCCAAAAAGAGGAGAGCACAGGAGAGCGTCCTCCTGAAGGGAGAGTTCTCTTTAAGAGGAGAAACTACAGCGAAGAGAGTGGAGTGTAATGTGTGACAGTGAGCTGGGGAGGGGAGGGCAGGGAGCAGCCTGCACTGGAGGGAGGAAAAAGCCATCCAAATCCGTGGGGAGGTTTGGTGGAGCCTGGGGATGATGATTGTCCTGCCCAGCACCGAGTCCAGGCCTTGGCACAGCACGACAGCCATGGCTGGAAACCTCCTCAAGCCACGTTTCCTCCAGTCCCAGCAGCTCTTCCACCACCGTGGCCAGGCACATTTGCAGAGCTGCAATAATTAAAGCAGCAAAGATCTCCCTCGGCCATGAGGATGCTGTTTTCCTCTCCGCGCTCTGGAGAAGTTTCACTACTAAACAGTTAAAACACACAAGGCTAAATCGAGATGATTGAAATTCATAGGCAAGGAGTATTTGAGGTGACAGTATAAAGAAAGGATCGCTCTTTCACCCACCGGGTTTTCGTTTGATCTGAATCTTAAGTTTTAATATACACAAAATGAGATTTTCCTGGCCTTTCTCTCAGTCGCTGAGAGGTATAGAGGTAACTCATTTAAAGACAAATTCAAAAATCCCCAAACAAAAGCAACAAACCCCAGCTATGCAGACAGAAGTTGCATTATCCACCGCATCAAAAGATTACTGTACTTCAAACCAAAGATGGCTTTAAAACAGTTGACGTGCTGCCCTTCCTTGCAGCATGAAATTACCAAGCTTTCATTAAAAGCCCAGAAATAGAAACGAAGATATTAACAAAGGCAGTGTCAATGATCCACCCCAGTCAACATTCCCTTTCTGAGATAAAATAACGCCGGAGAACAGCGGCACAGCCGCAGCCTCCCCACTGCATCTCCACACCAGACGTGTTTTCACTGCTGAGGTTAAATATACACTGAGAGCAGATGCTACCAGAGACGCTTTTCACATCTCATGGCCATCCTTGAAAGCACTAAACACTGTTTAGAAACAAAAAGGAAAAAGCAGAGCTCATCAGGGCACTGCAGATGCTTCAACAACCAACTTGAGTAAAGCGATCGATCGGCGCCGTAGCGGCATCTCTGCCACGGGGGATGCCGGGGTGTCAGTCAGTGAAACCTCACATTTCTGTCATCCAGAAGGAGTGAGAAGCTGCCAGGGCACAGCCATCAGCAGTGGGAGAGGTGCCTCCTGCCCGGGACCCCCCTGCCCTCCTTGCTGGGAGTCGGGTGCTGCACGGCCGCAGTCACAGTCCCTTTTCCAGGCTGGCTGTGGAAGAGGTTTTGCTGATGATGGAGGATGAGAACAGGCCCGTGCCCTGAGAAGCTGTGCCCTTTATTTAACCCAAGTGCCCTCCAGCAGCCTTCCCACCACGCCTGACACCCCCTTTCCAAACCTGCCAGGACCCACAGATCACAGGGTATTTTCACTCCACGGCTCTCTGGCCTCCCTTCTCTGACTGAAGGCTCAAACACCCCTCTCAGAAATCCCACATTTCCAGGAGGAAAGGAGCAGCACAAACACCTCCCTTCACAAAGGACACCAGGTTCCTCAGGGCTCTTGCTTAATGACACCATTAAGTCCAGCATTTTCACAGCTCCCTTGCAGGGGAAGCCCAAGTGGGAGGCAAAAGGAGGTTTTTCTTTTTATAGGAAGAACAATATTTAGCTCTGCAAAATACAGAGGGTTTTCCTTATTTCCTTTTTTCCATCAAGCTCCTCTACTTGCAGACCCTCCAATTGATCAAATCTGATGCTCCCTTCCAGCCCCCTCAGAAGGAATCTCAAAAGTTGAAGGGATTTGGGTATGAGATGAGCATTTCTGCTGGAATCCTGATTGTTTCTGCGCTGCTGTAAACCATTCTCCAGCTCCACCACTATTCAAACTTTCCTTTTGCTCTTCAACTGTTACATACAACATTTCTCAATCACAATGTCCCAGGACACACAGGGTACCCCCAGCACCCTCCAATGTCCACCTCCAGGCTCAGGTAAGAGCTTTGAAAGAACAGGCAGTCATTAATGCATCTTTTGGAATCAGAGTTTTCCTTAGCTTTCAAAACCTGGTTTTATTCCCCCAAAGCTTCCAAGCCATCTCCCTTCCTCCCCCCTTTTCCCCAGCAGAGTTGAAAACTGTATTTACTTAATAGGAAACAAGAAATGTTCCCTGAGATGCTGCATTGAGTAAATCATACATGCTAAAAAGGAAATAAAAAAAAAAAAAAAAAGTATCCTCTTGGACAGCAATTGAGATGTGAGCTCTCTGGGAGATGTTGCTATGTTTTGATAAGAATATGCGTTGAATATTTCATTTACAGGGCAATCCTAGAACTTTATTTAGCAGCATATTGGCCAGACAGCTGTAATTTAGAACATACTGTATTCCTAACAGTTCCCAATTATAAATTCCTTCAGCTTTAACTTACAGTAACCACAGCTCCTTCTATTTTGGAGCTGTAAATCCACCATTTCTCCACTCCATTCAGCTACGGCACATCAAGAGCTCCTACAGTACAAACACAGCCTTGCTGGAGAAGGCTCCTAAATCCAGCATTCTCTACCCCCAGCACACTCACTGCTCCACAGACCAAGGTTTTATTGGTTTATTTGGGGACACTGGCCCCGTTTGTCAGTGCAAAGCCATCCTGCAGTGCCCTGGGAAAATGGCTGTGCACATTCCATCCTCCTCCTCCTGCTGCAACCAGCGCTGGAGATCCTGCCAGCGAGCCTCACGTGTTCAGCGTGGCCCTGTTCTTTGACCTCACACCTATTTTTTAAAAAGGATTAAGGCGCTGCCATGAAAATAAGCAAGTTCTTCACTGGAGGAGAAGCAGTGCTCCAGAAAGCCTTTGTGTCTCTCCCCAGATCATGAGCTCCCGTGGAACAGTGCCTGTTGATGGCTCTCCCAGCCATCCTGCTGGCTTTATCAAATTTCTGCAAGGAACAGAAGGCGCAGATGAACTCTGCAAAAACAAAGCTCCTGCCTCCATGCAAATATCCCTGGTTAAGAGGAGCGGAGAAATAGAGCGAGCATGATGTGTGTACAGAATTGGCTCCACAGACGCTGCTTCTCAGCAACTGCCATAAGGTGGCAGTGGGTCTTTAAGGCTACCTTACACCTTCCCACAGCACAATAGGAACGAGCACGCCAGTGGGTTTCCAGCAGCTGAAACTGATTAAGTCGAATTTCCTCATCAAGAGAACCAGGCCTTACATGAAAACTTGGGGCTGAGATCGCCTGCGCTGCCAGAGTCACACAAGGAGGAAAAGCCACGGGGGTGAATTCTGCAAAGCCATAAAGGCAGCCCCCATCTGAGCCAAAGAAAATCAACCCCTTTTCCCTCTTGCTGTACGATCACAATGCTGTTTGTTTTACAGAAACGCTTCTCTTTGTGCGTTCATCCAGCCATAAACAAGGCAGTGACCATTAAAGAGCGGGAGAAGCTCTGCCTGGCCAGCAAGCTGGGCTCCAGCAGGATTTTATGCAGGGAACATAAAAGCCAGCCCAGTAAGCAAGCTGGTCACCATCTCAGCACAGGGCTGATGGAGCAAAACAGGCCCAGAAAGCACCCAGGAAGAGTTGGGTTCACAAGAAAGATGGAACCAGGCAATAAACAGGCAAGTTACTTCAGGTAATGAAGTGACTCATCATGCAGAGTGCCCATCACCTGGGACACAGCAACAAAATCAAATCTATTCCAGTCACCCCCTGAACTGAGCTGTGAAAAGCGGCCAGAGGTGCCCTGAAGGAAGAGCTGATGTACCTTACAGCACACAGCCAGCCTGTGATCACAGAGATCTCTGCTCACAAAGTCAGTAACTCTGTGCCACCCAAGGATTCACAGCGCTGACAGAGCAAACCCCTCGCCTTACCTGTACCAACACCAGGCCACAACAGGGGTGTGCCCCCCATGCCACACCGCCACGTGTGAGGGGACAGGTCAGAGGGAGCTGATGTCCCCCTGCTCCACACCAACCCAAAGCCCCCCTACACCTCACTAACACAAACATCCAGAGCCAATGTAAATGTTTTATTGGCACCTCACCACGCAGCGTGCTTGTACAACAACTGGAGTCAATCGGCTCATGCAGCACATACCTGCTGGTGCTTACACATTCCTTGGAAA